AATAAATTTAATTTTAATTTTATAGGGGTCCTATTCAAGTGACGAGGAGTGTGTGCTCAAATTTTATTAGTCCATGCTAAAATTGAATAATTTTTGACATTTGTGAACCGATTGATTTAAGTAGACCATTGTTGGAAAGGTCGATTCAGTACAATTTTAACCATGAGTCAATTTACACCGAAAGAACGCGATGATATCGACGCTTTTTATTAAAAATAGTCGTTCAGTTGTGTTGGCTCATTACACTACTCGAAAAAATTGAACTTTAGGCTGTGAACCAAAACGACTTTTTCTGATAGATTTCGTGATTTAAAAATTTTTGTAGTACTTTATTTTTTTTTTTAAGGTATCATTTTTTAACGAATTTTTATTATCTGGTTTTTTTTTTTTCATGGTTTTTTTCAGAGGTAATGCTTCTATTTTTCACATAACTTAAGTATCTTATATCTGGTTGCATAGAACTTTGCAGCTCTGAAAAGTTGACAAGTGCAGCTATAAATCCGACCCAGACCCTTTGTATCTGCAGCTTAACGCCTGAAACATATTAAGCTTTCCAATTCAAATTTAATCATTTTTTGCGGTATTGTTTTTTTTTTTTTGTTTCTCTCTCGAAATTTTGACTTTAAAAACTCGGGAAAAGTAGAAAGAACGAGAAGGAACGTGTGAGTCGCTTCTGGGGACGCGACTCTACTTATACCCGTACTCAGTCAGTATATACATTTTTGAACATGATTTTTTAGAATTTTAGAATTAAAAAAAAAATTTTACATTTTACATTTTTTTGCTACATATGCTATCTACATATACAATGTATATTCTGCATCTAACATGTAGACTGTACATGTTCCAATTAGATTCTACATCTCCTCCGCTAGGTGTTGCTCGCGCACTGAACGCGGCAGAGTGTGCGAGCGAGAAGGAAAATGAGTTGCGTTGTCTGGAACGGGAGGGGGAGGGGAAGCAACTGAAAATGAATTTCTTCATTCTGGCTATAATTATGATCCGATCTAATTCAGATTCGGCAATCTGGTAGATATGGGCATTCTCTACGATACTGCGTTTTTAGTTTTATCGTATCTTTAAAAATGTGCCTGCCACAGATTTTCGTCCTTTGTGTGGGCGGAAGGGGGCGGGGCGAAATTTTGAAATACACTTGTAGCAGTGTGATATCACATGAGTCTGGAAACCAAATTTGGTTTCTCTAGCTCTTATAGTCTCTGAGATCCAGGCGCTCATCAAGGCGGACAGACGGACAGACAGACATGGCTATATAGACTCGGCTATTGATGCTGATCAAGAATATATATACTTTATGGGGTCGGAAACGTTTCCTTCTCTGCGTTGCACACATCCACTTTTACCACAAATCTAATATACCCCTTAACTCTTTTTTGAGTACGGGTATAAAAATAATTCTTGGCCAACATTTTTATACCCGTACTCAAAAAAGAGTTAAGGGGTAAATAATTCTTGGCCAACATTTTTATACCCGTACTCAAAAAAGAGTTAAGGGGTATATTAGATTTGTGGTGATCGCCTGGATCTCAGAGACTATAAGAGCTAGAGAAACCAAATTTGGTTTCCAGACTCATGTGATATCACACTGCTACAAGTGTATTTCAAAATTTCGCCCCGCCCCCTTCCGCCCACACAAAGGACGAAAATCTGTGGCAGGCACATTTTTAAAGATACGATAAAACTAAAAACGTAGTATCGTAGAGAATGCCCATATCTACCAGATTGCTGAATCTGAACTAGATCGGATCATAATTATAGCCAGAATGAAGAAATTAATTTTCAGTTGCTTCCCCTCCCCCTCCCGTTCCAGACAACGCAACTCATTTTCCTTCTCGCTCGCACACTCTGCCGCGTTCAGTGCGCGAGCAACCCCTAGCGGAGGAGATGTAGAATCTAAATGGTACATGTACAATCTACATGTTAGATGTATAATAGACATTGTAGATGAGATGTAGATAACAAATGTAGCAAAAAAATGTAAAATGTAAAATTTTTTTTAAATTCTAAAATTCTAAAAAATCATGCTCAAAAATGTATATACGGACTGAGTACGGGTATAAGTAGAGTCGCGTCCCCAGAAGCGACTCACACGTTCCTTCTCGTTGGTTTTAGATAGACGCATTAATTAGGCCTCGTTTAAGGTATTGCTCATTAAAATCTATGGATAAACGTTCATTTTGCAGCCGTTTGACCAAAACGACTCAAAACTAATTTTACCTGAAATTAGTGCTTTTATTTTTCACATAACTTAAGTATCTTATATCTGGTTGCATAGAACTTTGCAGTTATGAAAAGCTGACAAATGCAACTATAAATCGTACCCAGACACTTTGTATCTGCAGCTTAACGCCTGGAAGATATTAAGCTTTCAAATTTCATAATTTTTTGCGTTATTTTTTCCCGAAATTCTTACTTTAAAATTTGGAGCATCCTGTATACATATACCTTATGTCGCCAGAGATTTTTCCATGTTAAACTTTCAGAATAATTATTATCTGTTGAAGGTAAAAAAAAATAAAAAATGGATGGACTAGTTTTTTTTCCACTTCACTGAAATGGTTTGTGTGGACAGTCGGCTCTTGCTTGGGCATTCGACTGACGAGAGCTGTCCCAGAAATAGCCATTAGAGCACAATTTTTTTTTTTTTTCAATGTAAGATTCTTAATGCTTTTATCCGATTTTTTCCCATTTTTGTATCCTTTCCAAAAATTAGGATTTGTCAAGGCAAAGAAAATATAAGAATAAGATACATAGCACCATACGAAATTTTTGCACACGGAATTTTGCATGCTGGCTCTAGAGCTGGCTCCAGGCTCTCTTGAAATTTTGTAGAGAGAGAGAGAGAGCGCTCTAGAGCCAGTCCCTTTCTTGTATGCATACAGCATAAGAAGGCACACGAAGTTGGTTCTTTGCCGATGCAACAGCCGAGCCGAGTCGTCGCGACGACTGTATGTGTGCACATGCATACGTTTTTTACAGCGCTGTCGAAATATACCCTTCACTTTATAAGTGTAAGTTAATTTTGCAAGACGCATACCACCCCAATATTAAAAAACTCTTATATTGTATATCCCCCCAATGAAAATTTCTTTTAACATGGTATATTCGATAATAATGAGCGGATATACATATATAAAAATACATAATATATTTAATACATGACTTCACATTGGAATAATTGTCATTAGGGTATTCAGCGTGCGACGTATTCAACGCCGGTAAATAATTTCGTTTCTCAACTCATAAAAAGGTTTCGGTCTCGAAAATCGTCCGCTTAGCACAAGTACGCACACATACGCAGTTGCTGGTTCTGTGTGTACTCACACATGCAAGCGGATTCTATTTTAAGATTCGTACGCTCTCAAATTTGTGCGAGTGAGATGGCGCGAATTTCGTCGCGTGCCGAAAAATTGGCTTGCTTATGGCAATTGAAATGTATCAGCGTTACGCATCTTATACTTATATTTTCTTTGGTCAAGGTCTCCAAAATAGGCATTTTTTTTAGATGACTTCATTATTGGACTGAAATCTCTTGCCACCGAGCCAATTCTACAGGTTTGTAAACAAGAAACAGTCACTAGAGACTAAATCCATAGAATATGGTGGTTGAGGAAGCAATTCGTAGCCTAATTCATGGATTTTCATGTCGGCACCCTTGTATTGTGGACGATTGTGAGCAAACGCAGCTTCCATCGTTCCTATGTTCGATTTTTCGGTCAATATGCGATGTACAGCATTTTTTGAAATGCCTGCACATTCAGCTAATTCACAAACTTTCAAACGCCAATCACTCTATAAAATTTTTTTAATTTTTATACCCGTACTCAAAAAAGAGTTAAGGGGTATATTAGATTTGTGGTAAAAGTGGATGTGTGTAACGCAGAGAAGGAAACGTTTCCGACCCCATAAAGTATATATATTCTTGATTTGCATCAATAGCCGAGTCGATATAGACATGTCTGTCTGTCCGTCCGTCCGTCCTAACTAAAAGAGTTAGGGTAACCAAATTTGGTTTCCAGACTCATGTGATATCACACTGCTACAAGTGTGATTCAAAATTTCGCCCCGCCCCCTTCCGGCCCACTCAAAGAACGAAAATCTGTGGCAGGCACAATTTTAAAGATACGATAAAACTAAAAGCGCAGTATCGTAGAGAATACCCATATCTACCAGATTGCCGAATCTGAATCAGATCGGATTATAATTATAGCCAGAATGAAGAAATTCATTTTCAGTTGCTTCCTCCGCCTCCCACTGCCAGTGACGCTACTCATTCTCTTTCTCGCTCGCACACTCTGCCGCGTTCAGTGTACTAATTGGTACATGTATAATCTACATGTTAGATGTAGAATATACATATTATATGTAGATGTAGATAACAGATGTAGCAAAATAATGTAAAATTAAAATATTTTTTTTTTAATTTTAAAATTCTAAAAAATTATAAGCTCAAAAATGTATATACTGACTGAGTACGGGTATAAGTAGAGTCGCGTCACCAGAAACGACTCACACGTTCCTTCTTGTGGTCACTATTTTTTATGTAGTCACCTCATTTGGTCGCCCATTACGATGTTTATCTTCACAGCTCGAACAACCTGGCCTAAACTCTGCCAAATCACTTAAGGTAGAATCCAGCTCGGTTTTAGTTTTGGTTGTACTAAAACCTTTCAATGAAAGTATTGAATCACGTATTTTTGCAAATCAACGTTATCTATTAAAATCAAACAATAAAAAAAAAATTCGTAAGGTAAAGGCACTAAACTTCAAACTTAAGCTTTTAATAGTTTGTATTTCCCCTTTTGAATTTTCTTTTTGTGCTGTCGGCTAATTCTGGGACAACCCTCGTATAAAATATATGTACTACTTTCAATTAACAACTCATTTAAAAATTTTTTCGTCATCCAAAAGTCCCATTAGAAATGAAAATCACACTTAAAATGTATAGTATAGCTCAAGACTATTTAATTTTCTTTGTTTAGTTTTTTTGTCATCAAATCGTATTCTGAAGATGATATCCACCGTAGTATAAAGTACGAAATTTGGTGCTCTACTGATCATGGAAACAAGCGATTGGATGATGCTTTCAAAGAAAGACATAAAGAAGGTGGAAATATTTTGCTCTTCTTTTCTGTGAATGGGTCTGGTCACTTTTGTGGGATGGCACAGATGATGACTCCAGTAGACTACAATTCTACATCTAGCGTTTGGTCTCAAGACAAATGGAAGGGAAAATTTAAGGTAAAATGGATATATGTAAAAGATGTACCTAATGGGAAACTCCGTCACATCCGTCTGGAAAATAATGACAATAAGTCAGTGACGAACTCAAGAGATACCCAGGAAGTGCCAAACGAAAAGGGCATTGAGGTGTTACAAATACTGCACTGCTACAACCATTCTACGTCCATTTTCGATGATTTTTTTCATTACGAAAAGAAACAAGAAGAAGAAGTCTCTTCAAAACGTCCGCCAATTCATGTTCCCGATGGCAATAATCATGTAAAATCAACATTAAGTCGCAGTTTTAACCGAAACTGTGATGATAAAGAAAAGGAACGCGATAACCGCGGCAGTATCATGTCACAAAAACATTTCATCGCTGGAGGAGCTGGTTTCCGTAATGCAGTTAATAGAGGTGCCACAGGAAGCGGGGGCTTTCACATCAACCACACTGAATATCGTCGTGGCTTTGACTTACAGAAAACTTTTAGTGGTGGTTATCACTTAAAAGATAGAGAAAGCGTTGAATTTGAAAGAGAAAACGAGTTTGGAATTCAAAATTATTCGAAAAACAGGAAAAATGAACATCAACAAAACAGTGCCATTAAAGGCAAGTTAAAAAATCGTGATCGAGACTTCAGTACTGAACCAATGAAAATCGACGTTCGCTTTCGTACTGGTCTATGCACATCTAAGGATATGACAAGAGTAAGTCCCGCTTATATTTAATATCATTGCATACGGGATAATTTTGTTTAATAACTTAATACATTTTTCTTTCAGAATACAGATAAAGATCCGAAGCAATGAATATTACTTAAACATAAGTTTGCCAAGATTCATTAGGTTTATTTTTCCACTTAAATTGAATGGACGTTAATGCTTTGAGACGTTAATGTAAAAGTTTTAGATTTTTTTAACCATTGTGTGTATAAGAAGAAAACCCATTTAATGATTAATAATGAAAATAAAACCAAACAAGTGGGAATTAGGATAAATGATTAAAATATGATAACATTTTTACGTAATTATTTATTAAAATATTTATATAAATCTATTGACGCTCACATTGAACAGAACATACTAAAACTATGACCGATTTAGCCGATTTGTACAAGATTTCAAAACATCAAGGAACTTTCTACTGTCATTCCTTGTAGTTGCACTGTAACAATTTATACGTGTTATCTGAATCTAAATAATGTTTACACGACTTATGTATGTATAATATAATTAAAGCATCCAATTAATCATTTTATGTAGTTTTTGTGTTCAACTTATCCTACGATATACTCGACCTTTGTCCAAAGAAAATTAATTGATATTACTTACTGAAGTACGTCTTCACCGCATTTCGGGAAAATTTTTGGAATGTGTGCAAGCAGAAAGGTGAGGTACAAGTATGGTTTAAAGATATTAGACAGTATAAGTTTTACACAAAAATCAATATTGTCATGAGTCTAATACTCTACTTCGCTAGCTTTTAATAAATAATGCCTAAGTAGAAGACTGATACACATTAATATTAAAATGTATGTATTTGCAGAGGACTTACATTCAAAACTAGACAGTCAAAGGAATATTTTTTTGACAAGTTTTTTTTCCTGTCCTCTCGGACTACATTCGCCTATTCAATTCCATAATAGATCACTTTTGATAAACAAAAAATTTATAAACTGTTTTAAAAATGTATTGTATAGAAATTATCGTATTTAAAATAAATTAAGTTAAAACACTAGTTGAAATTCGACTGTAACATACCCGCTTCTCAAATTTTTTGTTAACGCTTAGTGGAAATCATCTAATTGGAATTTAACAGGCGTGATCTATAAAAACAATTCTCTTATAATGAACAAAACAAAGATTGGAAAGCGGGTAGTGGCTATTTCTTTTGCTGGCAATGAAAAGGACACTAATAAGAAGGTCTGGTCATGCAAAGCTTTTTTCTAGCATACGTTTTTGGTCAGTCTCTCTTGGTCTGCTTGTTTCACGCTGGAACGCTAAACCGTTAAACCGCTAAATACCCCTTTAAGGTAAATCAGTGATCTTTTTGGAAAAAGTTGAAAATATGCGGTGTCGGCCAACGAGAAAGTCTTCGTGGACTTTCAGAGTCATACTAAATGGTCTTTTGGAATAATTGAAGATATGGCATAGTGCCTACATACATATGTACAGTTGTGTTCAATGAAATAGTAGTGCCGCACCTCACTACTTTCAAAACTCTTTTGAGATATTTCTAGTACTTCAAATTGAACAAGTGATACCTTTATGGAAAGCCTGGAATGTAAGCATTAGAAACTCGAAGAAACCCCGTTACATTTGCATTCTATCTTCTTGTTTTTCATGACTTTAGACAACTACCCATGATATCTGCTGTTCAATGAAATAGTAGTGCTGGGTTAAATTTATTTTTAAAAATGAAAAAACAAAGTAAATTAATTTAAATAAGTCACTATGCGCAAGCTCATTTCAGATATCGAATTATTTGATAAAAGAAAGTTTTGGACATTGCGGTACTTTTGATTTTGAAGCGTTGAAGAAATCATTGCTCCGTCCAGAAGAGGAGACCTAAAAGTTAAACTAAAAACTTAAGGCAGGAGGTATAATAGGATTGAAAACTAAGTTGCACTCTCACTATTGTGCTTAATTAATTAACTATAAGAAGTAGACTGAAAATCGATTTTGTATTCGAAAAACATTTTTTAGAGGATGGTCGGCGATGGTCGAAGGGAAGACCAGGCCTTAAATATCCTCAAAAATTATTAAAAAAATTGTAATCGCTCTTACAAATCAACCGTCTACGAACTGTCACATCACTGACAGAGCGATTACAATTTTTTTTCATAATTTTTGAGGATATTTAAGGCCTGGTCTTCCCTTCGACCATCGCCGACCATTATTATTTAAATGCAAGAAGTCCCAGAAAGCTCCGCGTTTGGGTCTGAGAGTACATGGGTGCACGACTTCAGTTTGAAAAACGCATGTGGAATGGCCTGTGTCACAGTGAAATAAAATACTTTTGACTGATGATAGTAAAGTTGTATTATATGGTAAGAGACTCAAAAGAATATGTTTTGCATTCACAGAAATCCGATTACCACATAAAATCATGGAAAATATAGCATTGGGCATGCTAGGCTGAGCCTTATGGGGCCCAGCTCATATGAGCTAATACTTTCTAGCCTGGCGTTTGAGTATAGTATGGTTTTTAGCGATACTTTAGAATACATTAAATTCATATTACAGTTGAAAAATTACTGCTAAAAGGATATTTTAACCGGATAATGACTTGAAACACCCATAAAAGCTCGCTAGGAATTAATTTTTATCGGAAAAGATCGACGTTTTTCCATGGCCAACTGTCCAACTGGATATTAATCTCATCGAAATCTTATTGGAGAATACCAAATACATTGTTGCAACTGCAAATCCGTCAACCAGAGCCAAGTTTTACCAAGTGGTTGGTTCATGGATTATTGACTCAAATCCTATTGAAGCGTTGGCAGAGAGACCCATGTTTGGCCAGTGCAAGTTCGCAATGAAAACCAAATTGATTAAAAACTAAATATTAAAGCTCAGGAAACATTAAGCACATGAAATATATGTTTTTATTTGAGATTCGTTGTTTTTTTTAATGTTCTAAAAAAACACTACTACTTTATTGAACAGCAAATTTCATGTAAAACAAGAAAATGGAATTCAAATGTATTGATATTTCTTCGGTTTTCTAATGCTAACAGTCCAGTCTATTTAAAAAGGTATCATTTGTTCAATTTGGATAGCTGGAAGTGTCTCAAAAAGAGTTTTGAAAGTGACGAGGTGCGGCACTACTATTTAATTGAACACAACTGTAAATTTTTCATTTATAATTTTTCGAATTCTCTTTGTGCAGTCTCCTTTATTCGTATTCCCGCTGTCTGGGCTTTTTTTATACCCGTACTCAAAAAAGAGTTAAGGGGTATATTAGATTTGTGGTAAAAGTGGATGTGTGTAACGCAGAGAAGGAAACGTTTCCGACCCCATAAAGTATATATATTCTTGATCAGCATCAATAGCCGAGTCGATATAGCTATGTCTGTCTGTCCGTCTGTCTGTCTGTCTGTCTGTCTCGATGAGCGCCTAGATCTCAGAGACTATACGAGCTAGGGCAACCAAATTTGGTTTCCAGACTCATGTGATATCCCACTGCTACAAGTGTATTCAAAATTTCGCCCCGCCCCCTCCGCCCCCACAAAGAACGAAAATCTGTGGCAGGCACTTTTAAGATACGATAAAACTAAAAACGCAGTATCGTAGAGATGCCCATATCTACCAGACTGCTGAATCTGAATCAGATCGGTTCATAATTATAGCCAGAATGACGAAATTAATTTTCAGTGCCCCCTGCCCCCCCTCCCTCAAACGACAACGAAACTCATTTCCTTCTCGCTCGCACACTCTGCCGCGTTCACTCGCGAGCAACCCCTAGCGGAGGAGTGTAGAATCTAAATGGTACATGTACATTGTACAATCTACATGTTAGATGTAGAATATACATTGTATATGTAGATGTAGATATCAGATGTAGCAAAAAAATGTAAAATGTAAAATTTTTTTTCTAAAATCTAAAAAACATAAGCTCAAAAATGTATTTACTGACTGAGTACGGGTATAAGTAGAGTCGCGTCCCCAGAAGCGACTCACACGTTCCTTCTCGTTTTGCTTTCGAATTGGGCAGGCTCACACTGTGCAAAACAGTCAATCTAACGGAATAAATTTCCAACTTTAAATAACACTACTCGACAAACCAAAATGACTTTTTCTGATAAATTTCGGCATTTAAAAATTTTTGTAGTACTTTATTTTTTATTTTATGGCATGCATTCTTAGTTCTAGATAGACGCATTCATTAGGCGTCGTTTAAGGTATTGCTCATTAAAATCTATGGATAAACGGTCAACTTGCAGCCGTTTGACCAAAACGACTCAAAACTATGCATCCAGATATAAGATACTTCAGTTATGTGAAAAATAGAAGCACTACCTCTGAAAAAACAATATTCAAAAAATACCAGATTTTAAAAAATTCTTTAAAAAAAACTACACCATAAAAAAACCATAATTCGTTAAAAAATGTTAAACCCCGAAATCTATAAGAAAAAGCCATTTTGGGCCACAGCCTAATTCTCGTGTTGACTAGTGTAATTTATTAAACTTAATTTTTTTGTTGGATTCGATTACACTACCCGACACGATTTTTCCTTAAAGCCTAGTACTCAGACGCGCTAAATTTTCCGTCGACCGAATCAGGGATGATATTCGTATGAAACCGATAAGAATCATCCCTGTTTCGGTCGACCGAAATCCGTAGCAGGCGTTCGCAGACCGGTACTCAGTTCCGAGAAAAGCCATTCGATACATACTAGAAAAGCAACCGATGGTATTTTCCCATCTCGATCGGAACATTGAAAATTTTCAATTTCCGTCGTCTAATGACATGACACAAAAACACACACAACACACACACATTAAATATGGAAGGAAACAAGTGCAAGCCAGCTAAAAAAGTGCAATAATGAAGATAAATTAAATTTAGTTAGGGAGTCGAATTAATACCGATTGTATGGATATTATTATTTATTAATTTTACTCATTTTAATCTTGAAAAGGAAGATTAAAACCATGTTGATTGCAATATCTTTCCTGCAGGATCGGATTTATTCAATAGTGCCGTGTGCATTATCGCCCTCCAGCTCCACAGCGCCCACAAATAAGACATTTCTGCTTACTTTAGCAAAACATTTGAAATTCAAACAGATTTCTGTTTGTAAACAAACACCAAACAGTGTAACCGTAGAGCATACATTTTGCCAACTTAGGTCACACTAGGAACCGAGCGGAATATATAGCACTTTCGGTCGACTGAAAATTTAGCGCGTCTGAGTACTAGGCTTAAGGAACAAAACCAACTTTTTCTTAAATATTTGTGGTTTAGAAATGGTTTGATGATATTTATACCCGTACTCAAAAAGGAGTTAAGGGGTATATTAGACTTTTTGGTAAAAGTGGATGTGTGTAACGCAGAGAAGGAAACGTTTCCGACCCCATAAAGTATATATATTCTTGATCAGCATCAATAGCCGAGTCGATAGCCATGTCTGTCTGTCCGTCTGTCTGTCTGTCCGTCTGTCTGTCTGTCCGTCCTAGATCTCAGAGACTATAAGAGCTAGGGCAATTTGGTTTCCAGACTCATGTGATATCACACTGCTACAAGTGTATTTCAA